AAGAAAACCGTAACCAAACAATTTATAATTAAATTCTACTGAATCCTCCTGAGATCTACCGTTGCAAACTAGTATAGGAAATGTCTTCAAATGTAATGCGCAATCAATGCTATATTTGTGTCAATATCGTCTCACATAGAAAATCTACAATCTTCGGTACAAAACCATCGTAAAAAGGACCTTATTGTCTTCCACATAAGGAAACATGTCCTTATAAAATTACTACCAACGAATAGATACCACGCCAATAACGTGTGTACCCAGCTTATATTAAAATTTTGATTCAAAATCAAGCAAATAAAAAGTTATATATTTAGCACCCTATCCTTAGGCGTTTTCAAGCATCAATTCAAAATTATCAAGTCGATTTTGAATCTTATTTTAAAATGTTTAAAGTTAGCTTTAGCGTTTAGCAAAATTACAGATCAGAGTATATTGCTATTCTTATTTCTAAATTTCATTGTGCGTATTCGTTCTAATAAGTTGTTTATTAAAATAGGGTTTATAGTACGATTTATTAAAAGCATTCTTAATTGACTGGAATTTAATTTCATTTTATTTCGAAATTGTTACAATACATTTCTGAATTGAAAATCTGAATAGAAATGTACAAAAGTATTTAGAATTAATATAGATCAACAGCAATATACTCTAGCGAGTGCGTTTATTAGCACAAAAGCGAAAACCAACAATAAAATATGACATTTAAAATGTCGTTAAATTTGTCAATTCACATTGCACTTGCATTTAAACCTGTTTAAAACATTCCTAAACGTGTATAATTATCACGCGACTCCGAAGCACCAAACCAAATGACTCTTATCACAAATATTTCCCGTAGAAGACTCTATACTTAAATTTCAACTTGACTAGGCTTTAACCGTGTCCATCATACTATATTACTATCAAAAAAATATTCTGTCTTTGGCATATTTAGTACCGAAACTCACTTCTTCGTTCACTAGCTGCAAATGAAAGAACGAATTAAAACCAGCAAGTTAAAAGAAATCTTATGAACTTATACTTAAATTATAGTCAAATAAAAGTGTAATTCTAAGACCTAACATTTAACACGCATCGTTACTACCCTAAGTGCTTAAGCACTGCGTCCAGCACAAGAATAAAACTGCAACATCTGGAGAGCATTTTAGCTCTCACCTTATTACGAATGTCGCTACGTAGCGAGACTTAAACTCACTCTAGTGGAGAATAGGATCCCTATCAAAGACCAATAAGTCTATAGTCGACCCATTCAAACAATTGTTTATTCATACAAAACAATTCCGCACAATTCCGTGCTGAACACAATGCATATAATTATGTACCTAAATCTAATGCCCTAAAGGCACCTACGTATATTGTAAAGACGAGTAAAAACATCTAAAGTGTCACATACGACAAGAGGTGGGAATCCAAAAATACTACTGGGACAGACGATGCACTGGACAGTCCACAGCGGAGTATATAAAGTTTGTTAACAACTTAACTGTCCCCACACAATGAAATTTACAATTACACTACATCCATTACTTTTTTAAAGTTCAGGTTGCAACATATTCAAGTAGTTTTTATTAGAATTTGGTGCCACGCTCATATCAGAAATAAACCCTAAAATTGTACCAAAAACATGTGACACAGTAACATATTCCAAAAGTTAATCGCTATTTGTTGGTGACTGCTTGGACAGTTAACTTGTTAAAAATACTATCTTTCTAAGACTGTTCAAATGCTTCATCTACCTTAGTGTCAAACTACAAATCTACTTTTGTGTCACTGGATAATCCCGACTTATTCGCATGAACACTACCTGCGATGCTATCGATGTTAATAGAAACTTCTGGAAATTCTGTATGTGAACTGCATGGACACGAATAAGCCTGAGCGATCCCTAATCCTATAAGATAAACTTTAAAATCGCTATTCCTACATAGCTAAACTTTGTAATCACTTATTTCTAAATCCTAAATTCTACACCTAAAGTCCGTAAAAGGACTGTCTAAGATAAAATTCCAAAAATGGCTAAATGCCCTACGATATGAATCTTATAGTAATAAGCATAGACATCAAAATATGCAATGCACACACTACATAATATGTTTGTTCATTTCAAAGAGTGGCAAAGTCAACAGCCAAAAATATCTAACGGTACTCTGACGATTTTTAACTTTCAGTAAACCTTCAAAAACTTTAGCCCATTATAATAAAATAAGATGTACGAATTTTACACTTTATTCGGCCAAAAAGCCACAAATTTTCAATAATTTACCCAAAATAGACTTTCAGCCTTGGTAATTTTTATAAAAAGGCATCATTATAAATCTTTAACATGTTCCAAATCCCTGTTTAGGGTTGTTATACCAGCACACGAATTCCTTTACAAGTGCGTTTTTGGCACAATCGTCAATGTTCAAAATGTTTTAGAAGATACAAATACCATCTTTGAGCTTACAACATTAAAGTTCAATTTGCAAAATTTTCCCAATTTCTTGTATATTCAGTTAAAAAACTATTCAATTCGATATAAAGTCATGTATATAATGTCGGCTTCAAGTTACAATGTTCAGATAATAATGTAAGATATAATTATAACAAATTCGATTACTAAACTCGTCTGTATACCGCTTTAGGTGTGGTTGACTATCTTATGTTTTATGAATATGTACTGTCTTAAAAACATTTGTACGAAAAAATACTTAATGAGGTATGAAGTTTGGGGTGGTCCACAAGATCAGAAAAATAATATCATATAGGCAACTAATATTAGGTACTAGGGGTGTGTAAATAAAGTTGAATGTTGATTAAAATATCTTTATGTACTGAAGTAGAGATAGACAAATATTTCAAGCGAAATATAAGATCAAAATATAAATTTATTCATTCATTAAATAGTTACTTGTTCTTGTCTTTGAGAGGGAATACCAAAAGGTAAACAGGGGTGTTTGGACGGTCCAATAATAGGAGATAAACAAACCAATATGTCAAACACTTCAATTATATTAATTATTATTAGCGGGTTTAAAAAAAAACAGTTTTTTTACACCCTGTAACGATCACAGACAATAAACTTATAGTAACTAATATTATCAAATAATGTGGTTTAATGCTTGCCAACACAGGTAGTACATTATCAAGCAATATTTTTAAAACAAATTTAATTTATAATTGTACTTTTAGATTGTTTTAGAAGACAACTTCATGACGTCGTATGGCAAAAATACCAAGCAATATAATACCTGTGAAGGCTAGTAAGCTGATATGACCTAAAATAATGTACAATATTAAAGTGCGATAAAAATAATTGTTTTATCAAATGTTAAAGCGAACTACTATCGAGTCTTAATGTGATTACAGTGACATGGTTTGCCTAAAAGCCTATTGTATAACGTCATCAATCGACAATGTAACTATATTGTGCAAAAGCTACTTCGTTCGTTTGATTAGTATTCAAAATTGGTCAAATTGTACATAAAACGGTAGAAACTCAATTATTTACGTTATCGTTTCTATTAAAATTATTATTTTAGTAATACTTAAAAGGTATAAACTAAAACTTTCCTTTTGAGCAAACATTTACAACTTATTCTATATATGAATCGTGGGTTTTTACTGTGTTGCGTATATAATCAAATTCCTTTGAAACATTTTGCATATTACGATATAAACCCTAATCCCGTGGCATTGAGATTACAAGTATTAAAACTACTAAAACACTGGTTTGTTTTCGATTTATAATAGACAACGAACCATGAACTAGAAAACATTACTGGTAAAATAATTGGCGAATTTTGGTCGCCGAAGATCCCTACACTACACGAACTAGACGAGACCAGGCCAAGCCCTCGATATCTCAGTAATGACGGCGGGTGGCGGCGGCAATATCGGAAAATACATATATGGTTGGTAACGATAGACGCTGAATGCATTAAAATTAACATAATAAAACGGTGGATCACAAATGATGCTTATTTGTGACAATTTAGTGAGTAACTCTAAATCGTCCGACTTTGGCCAAATGGTAAGTTCTTTGGCAAACCTGAAATCTGTGCAGGCGCGTAAGCAATAGACGACGGGTCCGTAGGTAGCAAGAACTGGGAAGAAAACTGGGTATTCTCTGCCATTGTAAAATGTGAAAGCGCCATCGAATACAAGCAAGACATGACACGGTCTCCTATAGAAGAAGGTGTCACTGTCTTGGCTGCACGTTCCCTAGGGAACCGACACTTGGTACGATAACTTGTTGTTTACGCTCACTTTAGCAGCAACCAGGCCGGGATTCTTAAATGTAAATCTGGAAAATGAAAAAAGCATCGTTTAGCAAGCGAGAAAGCTAAGTGCTGTGATAAAGTACATAAGTGTATAGCGGGGATGTTAGGGAGCTCCGTAACCATAACCGAAAATATCGGATATCCGATATAAAAAAATATCCGTATCCGTAACCGAATCCGAAATAAAAGTTTCGGATACTATTGGATAGCGGCGTAACGTATAAACGAAACTATTATATTAGCTATTTGTATTTTACTTTTGAAATTCCTTAAAATTATAATATCCGTAACCACAATTATCCGAAACTAACGGATAATCCGAAACAATTTCATATCCGTACCCGTAACCGTATCCAGTATAATAATCATTTCTATATCCGTATCCAATCCGTATCCGAAATTTCATATCCATAACATCCCTGGTGTATAGTCTTGAGAGCATAACAAAAAATCTGCGATTGATTCGCATGGTTCTAACGCTTTGCTAAGGCTGATTATGATTGCATGTTTGGCGCATATACAAAATAAAGCGATCGACTTCAAAACAGTTCACAACGACTATTATACAAACAAAGTTTTCCACAAAATGAGACTAGATGGCGTTACAAGTCAATCATGTTTAGATACATGACCAATTAAAAAAAATATAGAGGCAAATTGTACAGATATCTAAAAACTAGTTTAAGATTATCTCTACTCACCCAAGGCCGCGTTGCTTCAAGCGTTCAACCGTGCTGGTTTTATTCGGCACGTCCCTGGCTGTGGCATCCACGGCCAGTAATGAAGAACAAGACCTGGTTGCGACGTACTCCTGAATCTCTGAGCTTGGTGATGTGGGTGTCGATGAATATGTCGAGGGACTCTCGGGCTTCTTTCACGCGCAAGTAATGGAGATCTATGGTGGTGCTATCCGGATTCTTCGCTGCGTGGAACTGAAATTAATTATAGGAGAATTAAGTAACGAGTTTAAGTTTGGGTGACTGAAGTTGAAGTTTGGGTGTCAGGTGTTGAAGTTTGGGTGTCAGGTGTTGAAGTTTGGGTGCAAGGAGTTTAAGTTTGGGTGTCAAGAGTTTATGTTTGTTTCGTAATGGGGGTTTCGGATGACGATAAATTAAATGAACAATATTTTTGACAATAACTAGATTTTGTATGAGCAAACATGTACCAAAGACTAATATTTTGTTAAGAAGTAACCTGTTTTCACAGTGTTGTTAAACTAATTAGTAATTATAATTACTGAACGACTATATAAGTAAAATCTATTTATAACTATTTCTTATTGTTAAATGAAGTGAACTGTAAATTTTATCAATAGCTAATTATAGTAATTACAATATTAAAGATAAGCGCGGGTTAGACAAGTCATCTGAGATTTGCAAAATTCACTTTGCAATTTAATTCCGTAATAATTAAAAACCATTGTAAGATGTCTCTGCCTCTGTTCTGCATCGTTGGCCGAGTGGTCGCAAGTGCGACTGCCGGGCAAGTGGTCTTGGATTCGATTCCCGGGTCGTGCAAAGTATTACTGGGTTTAAAAAAAATTCTCAGTAGTAGCACGGAATCTGGAATTGTGCCCGGTATATGGCAATAGGCTCACCACCTATTATTACATGGGACTCATATCATAAATAGTGAAAAGTGCCTGCCTACCCCTTCGGGGATAAAAGGCGTGATGTTATGTTATGACATTGTGAGATGTAAGTTATATGAAGTCAATAAAGAATCACATAAAAAACACACCTGCAAACCCAATAACCCTTTCTAGGAATCAAACCCAGACAATTCACAGATACACAATAATATCCTAATGTTTTAAATTTTAGATACTCTTTTAATACTTTTCTTGGCTCAAGAATCGAACCAGAGACCCTCTTAGTGGCAATCACACCTACGACCAATTAATCAACGACACATCAATAAAACACACTACAAAAAAAAATATAAAGAAGTACAACTTACTTGCATCAAGGTAGCCGCAGCCATACTGTTTGCGTACTCATATTTCTGCTTATGGAAGTTAGCAAGTTCCGAGTAATAGTTAGCAACCTGAGGCATGGCACGACGAATGTATTCTTGAGCCTTCTGGTAATTTCTGCAATGGATACGTAATAAGCAATTAATAAATTGATACTTAGCTGATAAAAAGTAAATACAATACAGAGATAATGGTCGTAGTAATCTACATTTGTATTTAATGATATCTACTATATCTTTCGCGTGTTTATGTATGTGGAACAGCTATGCAAATTCAATATATTTTATTGATATGACGGATTCCCCAATAATTTCAAGGAAAGACTACTGCTACTAGAAAGATGATAATATGAGAATGACAAGAAAGGCTTCACCTAAATGGTCAGAAGAAAATAAAGTAGTCGCTGTTTTGCTTGTCAACCAGTAGGTAACTTTAGTTATAACTTTCAAGCTCATATTTATGAGCGCGCATCGCGGTATTCTGCGACACACGAGTGCGAGTCAGCCGAAAAACATCATAACTAATTCAGTAATTTTAGAACAACGGCTCCTTTGCCACGTGAACAAAGACAAACGTACAAACTTTCATATTTTAAAAACCTTATCAACCTTTACCACGTGTATAGTACTTGCAGTTATCTGCGTAACTAGCTTCTTCCGCGCGGTTTCACTCGCCCTGCTCGGCGCCTATTAATCGTAGCGTGATATTTTATAGCCTATAGCCTTCCTCGATAAATGGGCTATCCAACACAGTAAGAATTTTTCAAATCGGACCAGTAGTTTCGGAGATTAGCGCGTTCAAACAAACAAAAAAAAACAAACTTCAGCTTTATAATATTAAGTATAGAGATAAGGAATTCATTAACCATTATGTGGAACCTAACCCGGTGGGCCAGAGTAACCGGAGGTTTAAGACGCCCATTTCTCATGCGTGAGGGGTGCGGGTTCGACACCCACCACCACCAAGGACAAACAAGACAAACAAGGAAAACATCGCGAAGAAACCTAGGCATATAATTTCTAATCATAAGTTTGAAATCGCCAACCTGCATTGAGCAAGCGTTGTGATTACTGCTCAAACCTTCTCCATATGAGAAGAGGCTTCTGGTCAGAAGTGGCCACTTATGGGCTGTTGATGATGATGATATTTAATTATTAAATAAGTGTTAACTTGTTAAGTAGCACAACAATCGACATTTCAATAAAGATGAGTAATTATGTACTTTAATTACGTCATTAGTATTCATTAGTCATTACTTAATTTAAATATAATAATAATAATAATCCAGCGTTTCACCTATTATGTTATAATTCCTATGTCTAGACGGTGCGCATGAGCAATATGAGCACATTGCCCTACAGAATACTATGTCTAAATCGAGAATCAAAACAGATTCTCCTAAATTGCACTTAGGGGACAACTCGACTAATGAAACAGTTAAAAAAAATCAATAATAATAATTACGTTATCAAAGAAAAAGAACCTAAATAAAAAATTCCACAAAAACATCCAAAGAGCAAACTGATTTCGAAACGTAAAACAGAACACATGTTTTGTTTATTTATACAGTTGTAGATAAAAAGAGTTTATTTTCAATTATGTAAAACAAACATAATAACCTCTAGCCTATTAAATACCGAGTAACAACGCACCTATATATAGCCAATCCATATAATATTACAAAAGCGAATCCATATAATATTACAAATGCGAAAATATTTGTGTCTATTTATTTATCCTTCTTTCACGGCAAAATGAACGACGAATTGACCTGATTTTGTAAGGGACGATAGTTCAAGGAATGGAAAGTGACATAGACTGCTATTTGACTCTTTATAACCGCTCACTTCCCTAAAATGGGGGATGGAAGTTTGAATGGGTCAAGGATGAAGGCTAAAATGTGGTATGCGGACTATTTGTAACTAACAATAAAATACAGAATATTTTTTTTTTTTTTTGTAAATCTGTTCCAACCGCTTAATAAGCATGAAGCCGCGAGCGAAAAACTCATAAGGTAAAATATATACTGGTACACAGTTATTTCTGATTATCATGATCAAGATTTGACTTCGCATATGTACGTTTTGTTTATCTAGAACACAATCTCATTGTCACAAAAACAGATTATGAATTATGCAATTTTGAACCTTGGAAACACAACTTCAGACTGATAAATAAAAATAACACAATGCAATATTGAATATTGCATACCACAAAATCATAAGGGGACAATTTAAAAGTATGTACACAAAGGAAGTCCAATCTCAAAATAATGATCTCTTTTAAACTTATTTTGTTGAAGCTTAACAATGAATTAACTTATTGTATTCCGTATTTGCATTACAGGAAAGATTGCAAATCAAAATACAATACAAAATAAATACATTGTGTTGCATTATGTAGGTACAAATTATACACTCTTGATTTGATTTTTATGCTTGTTATTGTATGACCAAGTTGTATATAACATATTATGTCATCCATATAATAATATGTAGCTTATTTACTGTACCTATTATAATATATTCATGTAAATAAAACACTTCAGACAGACTGATAGACACTAGGCAGATAAGTGCTATTTATTGCGTCTGTAGGGGGAGATTAGGGGATTCCCAACCTTAGTTAACTTGTGAGAAAGGGTATTTTCGATGTTGCCAATTATTATGAATGCACGAATGGTGGTTAAAGTAAAAATGTACTTACAGATTGCGCCGTGCAAGATGGTTGTCAGCTTGTTCGCGATATGCGTCCACCGTAGCCATGTCGACCTTTTGACCTTTGCTCAGCAGTGGCCATTCCGTCTCCGATAGTTCCTAAAAAGATTTCATAATTTATTAGTATCGTGTCTTAGATTCTCCTTTTGAAGTTGGACTAATAACGTAACTAAAGAACTTTGTAATGAACTATAGCAGTCTCACCATGATTGTTAAAAACATTATTAAGTGTGTAACAATAACTTAAAGTAATAAAAGTAAGTTCGAAGTGCACTATCAGAAAACAACTGTGTCCTAAATTTAAAATTGAACCCTATTTTAATAGACTTAAAAGTCTGGTATACAAAAACACCGCTATAATAGTCGCGATATACGTAAATACGTAGTAGCACTATGACTCAACAATGCTAAGTAAAGATAAAGTTGTTTTCTTTAATAAATTAATTATTATTTCTCATACCTTCTTCTGTTCTCTAAAATCTTGTCCTTGACCTTCATTTCTTCCGCCATCACAAATTTATTGATGCCGTTCTTTTGTTCCAAAACGTCACTCCGACCGGTGGATGAGAGCAATATCTGTGGAGAAACATGATATTTGAGTACATATGTCGGCAATTAAATAAAATCATTCTTAATTGTATGTAATAAGTATCTTTTTACCTCGACAGTAGCATTGAAATTGTTATCGTGAGCCATGAGTAGTTCAGTAAGAGTATCCTGACTAACTTCTGGGAACAAGTTGAAGAGTTTATCTCTTGTCATCTTAGCCGCCAAATCTGTTGGCATGTTATTACGCCATTCACCCACATCCTTCTGATAAATGGCCAGCGCCATATCCATGTCCATTATCTCTTTGAAGTCTGGTACATCTGGTTCCTTACCGGCGAGAGACATTTCTGTTTCCTTCAACTCCAGTTGTCTAAAAAAGAAAAACATAATGAAATAAGAGCTGTAGGTATAGGTAAATTATTAGGTCTAAATGGCGGTCCCGGGAATCAAACCCGAAATCCCTTACTCAGCAATCACACTTGCGACCATTCAGCCTCTTTGACGTTTTCTTTACATTAATGAAATACAACAATTTTCAAATACATTAATAACTAGCTTCTGCCCGAGATTTCGTACGCGCAATCCCATTTCCCCCCCCCCCCCGTTCCCGTTCGAGATTTTCGATAAAAAGTATGTATCTTATGTCCGTTTCCTGGTTCTAAGCTACCATCCCGCCAATTTTCATCCAAATCGATTTAGTCGATCTTGACTTATAAATAGTGTAACTAACACGACTTTCTTTTATATATATAGATATAAAAAGTAAGGTGTGTACCTTGCAAATTCTTCATCTTGTTGCATCATAGCTGCAGCCTGGTTCGCGTGCTCATCTAACTGAAATGTTAACGATTCCATCCATAACGCACTGACTTCATTCAATAACGACATCGGTACACTAATCCTTGGCACTATGAAGGATGGATATTCCATACCCTTCCTGCCTAGTTTTTCATCTAATTCTTCTATGAAAGGGTGGCCCACATTAAAAGTGACTATTACATCATCATCAACACCACTTACACTAGACTCAGAAGAGCTATTCTCGTCATCACTAACTTCCATATCTACAGAGTTAGAACTATCAGAAAGCGTAGCTTGTGAGAGCGCAGCAGCTCCAAGTTCTTCACCACACTCGTTCACATCTGGTTCTCGCGACGTATCTTCCGTATCTTCAGGCAGTGCTTCGAATAGTGGTTGTCAGCTATGACTACATTCTGTTCTATTTGTCTTTTGATTTGAATATTTTCATCAGACATGACCATGTCACGCTTCCTTTCCTTCTTTTGTGTTTGGGACTTTGAATTTATCACTTCTGTTACCTTATCTTTTTTTTCGATAGAGGTCTGTTTTGCACTGGTTGTAGCTATATTTGGTATAATATTATAATGGGCCAGGCATGAGCACGGCTCTGAACTTTCTTCTTCAGCGTCTGACAGTTCTTCAATGTCCATTATTTTTAACTGATTATTATTCATTCCGTCGAGAACGATATCCACACTCCAGTTTACATCACCGCGACATTTGTCGAAGATATCCCTTAAATCGGAGCGAGCAATATTCCTGAACATCTTTCTAAGGGAAATAAAATGTTGTTCAATATTTGGACAAACAAAATCATCATTTTCTAATAGCATTACCTCGTTAGTCATGCTACTTTTATCTAGCATGAACTTTTGTGGTATCTTTTCACGGCGGAATGAAACGTGAAGGTGGTTTATGTTACGAGGAGTAGCACTGATGACCTTGTATTTTCCGTTGACATCTGTGTCCCCGATTTCCACACAGGTTTCCGCAGATGAAGTTTCAACTGGTACGTCGTAAGGTACAGTAATATTTGGTACGGTAGCTGAGTCACCCCAAGACGGCATAAATAACGATATTTTGCTCCAGTCTTGACAGCCGCTAACGTTTTGCATAAGGGTTTCCGCAGATTCTTGTAGTGCTTCTGATGAAGTACGAGGTTTTCTTTGAGGTTTTGCTTCTGGTATCGATGTAGCAGAGGTATTATTTTTTTCAGTTTGTTTTGAAGATTGCTCTTCAACTTCCCAATTATCACCATTTTCCCATTCTATTTCTGCTTTTTGAATTTCCTCGAGCTCTTTTTCTCGGACATTGAAGGGTTCGTCTAACATTTCTTGGGTCCGCGGAGTGACGTGAACACCTGAAAAATTCGGAGTCTCGTTTTGGGAGGCTTCCTGCTGCACGGTTTCATTATCAACAATCTGTTGTTCCGTCGTTTCCATATTACTCACCGACGAACGAAAAAATTGTTTGTTTGGATTTGTTTCATCAGCAGAAGTAGTGGCTGTTGCAGGTTCAATACTGGTGGCGGCAGTGTCTTGTTGAATATTTTCCTTTTTTGTAACACAAGGAATATTACGCTGCACAGGAGGAACCATACTTCTAGGATAAGACAAACCAAATGCATTCTTCAAAATTTCGCCAGTTACACCCTCGCGGTAATTTTCCAGCATTCTTTTTATGGAAACTAATGGCACATTGTGGACATTCTTTCTTAGAAGTATATTAGCTTTTTTAGCCCAAGGTGTTGTTGGTTCCACTACTTCAATAATGTAACCATTCTTAACACCTTCTCTTAAATAAGGCTCCATTTCCCATAATTCAATATTTGTATTATCTATTATAACAGGACTCATCCCCATTCTCAACACATTTCGAGCCCTTTGTTGATTCCATGAGTGTGCTTCTGACAATCTAAACTTATCGTATTGATATTGACCCCTGATCATGAAGTAGTCATCCGTTGTTAATATATGAGCTCTATAATTGTTATGACTGCCGCCAACCATCATATCTACTAATTTTCGAGCTAAATATGATTTACCACTTCCCGGCACACCTCTCATAAGAATCAGTATTCTGCTACCTTGATTGTGGTTGCATATTATGTTTCTAATTTGCTCAGTCCAGGTGGAATCTGTTTGCGGGTTTGGAGCATTATGACTTTTTGGTACAGTACCAGTGTTTGAAATAGGTTTTGCTGAAGAAATTGTTGCATATGAAGATGAAGGTTGGGTTAGTTGCGTTGATTGTGGTTGCGTTTCTACTGGTTCGGCAATTCCTGGTTCCATCACCGCTGCTTGCTTTACTTTTGGCTGAGTGACCACTGGTATTTGGCAAGCAACATTTTGATTTACGGCTGGCTGTTCCTCTTCTGACATTACATTGCCATCGTTAGTAATGTTCATTATGGCGTCCACCGAAAGGTTCACTAGGAGAAAGGAATAATAAAAATAGTTAGATTTACAATTCAAATGTGCTAATGCTTAAATGAGGTACTTGTATCAAAAGCCAATTTGTGTCCAATAATAACAGTTCATCACAGTAAAAAGTAGCAGAACGTCCTTCATAAATTGTTACTTTTTTATATTATTACTTAATTGCTAAAAAAAAACTTTAAATTATGTAATAATTAAAACTAAAACACAAGTATACTGAGATATGAAAGAGAATAGCAACTATTTCCGGTACACAATAAAACATAATTAAGTATTAAAACAATGTGACAAAAGCAACTAGTTAATAAAAATGGTTGTTTCCATACAATATTAGGTATTTGATAAGACAATTTCTAACTATGTAGTTACTTTAGGGAGAATTCAGTCCAATGAATAATCTTGATCTATCCACTATGCATTTATAAACTAATACCATATCCTATTCACATGATCATAAATTTACCAAGTTAGGCAATTAAAAAATAATGTAAATAACAACAAATATCAACCTAATTTATTACCAGTTATCATTGAATAAACAAACTTATTAGCTATTGATAAAAGTATGATTCATTAGTCCTTCAAAGCCACTTTTCATGTACAATTATAAGGGAGTAGTATTAATATGACTTAATATTGGCAAGTTTTAAAATAAACTATCCTATTTCTCAAGTCAAGCTTCTTTATGTGCATATAATGGCACCAAGCCTTGATAAGTTAACAAAGGAAAGTATTGAGGACAGTCCATCCGGGATGGTCCGTCAACTATAAGTAGACCAATTTAAAGTGCAGCACATCTTTAAGATTTATATCAAAGAAAAACAGTCTCAATTGCAATTCGCAATAGTATCAATTTGCTTTAGCACAACACAATCTTTATATTAATATCTGGCAGTGGCAGCAAATAAGGAAATAAAAGCTATTATAGACAGATTTAAGCACTTACTGCCTAGAGAATTAATAAACTAATACAGGTAGCTAATCTCTATCTTTCTAAATACCCAAGATGTACTGATAATGAAAGTTAAATATCAATTTAAAATGAGTAAGTTTCTTTACAAACATAGAAATAATTTTTCGATAAGATTTACAACTTTTAGTGTATAAAGCCCCACAAAGTTTAAGTCATTAAAATCTTAATTAATTCCTATTTCATAATTAGAAAAAATAACCCCACAGAGTAAAAATTCTAACATCTTGATTAATTCCCATTTCATAATTAGAAAAAAAACCCCACAAAGTTAAAAAGTCAATATCTTGATTAATTCCCATTTCATAATTAGAAAAAATCCCACAAATTTTAAGTCATTAATATCATGATCAATTCTCATTTCATGATTAGAAAAAAAAACCCACTAAGTTAAAAAGTCTAATATCTTGATTAATTCCCATTTCATAATTAGAAAAAAATCCCACAAAGTTTAAAAGTTTCCCATTTCATAATTAGAAAAAAATTAAAATGATGTGAAAATCTTTCCTCACCCATATAGAAAAAACCCCACAAAGTTCAAAGTCTTTAAAACTTCATCTATAACCATTTTATAATATGGAAAAAAGCCACAAAATAACATTAATCCCTTAACAAACATGTTGGTCAATGGTCAGTATTTCATTTTAAAAAGAGTATTGTACTGAATAATATATAAAAGTACAGATGGTCTTTATCGATTACCCCACATAAAGTTCCCCTTTCATTCAAACAAAGCAACCCTACAGATTCATCTTTTATGCACGGGTATTGATGCAGTCCAATTATACAAATATAGCTACGGCTATTCAATACAATGTACCAGACCGAGGGGGAAGACGGAGAACACGGTAAGTGAGGGACGCTGTCCTTCAAATACCCATGCCCCCCTTCCTCATACCACTATGAATGTTACATAATAAATTAAATCAATAATAAACTACTTTAAAACACCATACATTTCTGTAATTTGTTATGATGATGATGTCTATAGCCACTTTTAATAAGCTTAGAACTTATTACAGAGTTCTTTCATAACAATAACAACAACAGTTAGATATCAACAAAAACAATAATATTGTCAAAGTGTAACACCACTAAACCTACAGCCAAACTTCAATGTTTATGTATTAAACCAAAATATATAGCTACCGAATTGACCATTGCGATAGATGTCCTTACTGCTAGACCCTCTGAGATGGACTGAACCATAATAATGTACTGTGGACTGAACTCTCCCCTCTCTTAGGATCAACGATATGTCGAACTATCTAGATCGTCATCCTTGTTTTGCGTATTAGCGTCCTATAACATGTCCTATATACTTATATGCAGCATAGGTAGCATGTATTTACCGATACGATAACATTGGAACTGATCTTAGTGCTTTAATAATTTACTGCGCCGCGCAGCCAATCGAAAACCATAGTGAAGGTACGCGGTTGAATTTCACTGTAATCAACTATAGTTACTACTGGACACAAGTATAAGCTATTGATTTGGGTACTCACGGTCACCGTCGCAGCTTTCCACAACGGCAGATATGACATCTTTACTCATCACCTTACCGAACATATTCATCAAATTATCAACAACATCAGAAATGTTACTTTCTTCGTTATTGCGGGCATCCATGATTACGCCGCTTTATCAATCACAAATAAAAGAAAATAAGATAAAACAATCACCTTGATTAACACAATTTATCACTTTCTCGCAACAAGTAAAATAATAAAGAAACAAATAACTTCACTTAAAAACTCGCGACGTACGTCTAGCTCTGACAGACGATGAACTCAAACTGACGTTTCCAGCCCGCCCGCTCGCCCTTATATAACCCCGGTAAATCGCTCATTCATTACGCTAATCACCCAGTATTGCCAAACTCTATTTAAAATGACTAATAATTCATTAACAAAACACCACATTCTAATTACGAGACGTGTACGATTATTACGAAAGTTTATAGATTTTAATTATTTAATGACCATAATGGCTAAATAGATAAACTAATGTTAGTATATGGGTAGATTACAGGTTACAGGCATGGTCTTTATTTTCGATCGTAGAAATAGGTCAGTGGGTATCTACAGAGTTTAATTCCCGAAGATTATACATAAAGTAAATGTTCAATGATAAAAAATTTTTTATGTTTTACTATGAATGACTTTGCAAAAGATATGCTTCCTTATAATCAGTCATCTTTACATACTATTACTTAAGAGACACTTAAAGTAATGGAAAAAAAATAATTAACGAAAACTAAAAATTACTATATATCGAGAGCATCAAAAAAAGTTCTCAGCATATTAATACTTTTGTTTCATGTACTTGAAATATGTATATTATTATTACGTATTCTCTAGATTACAATTTTAATTTCGCCAAATTCGGGGAAATGCTTATGCTTGCAATCCACTTTAAATTATTTTAATACCATAGAGTATATTTTCTTTTTATGATTATTTTCGTGTTATTTTCTGTGGTATTTTGAATCTTTATTGAGAAGAAGACGTTTCTTTTTGGCTTCATAAAACCCGTAGGGCTGTGGTTCAAGGGAATTAAATTCACATAGGTACCGTAAATAACGGTAAATCCCCAACATAGACTATAAAAACACCCCTAAAATTCACACATGAGTACTTTAGGTTTAATATAGTATCCTTACTTTGTATAGTTTACTATCCTTTTTAACCGACTCCAAAAACAGAAGGATCTCAGTTTGACCTGTATGCATGTTTACGTTTTTATCCTATTATCTAACTATTGGCTGAGCCAATTTTGATGTAGTTTTCAAAAAAGTGTTTGTTATATTTTGAAACATGTTTTAGAATATCAACCGACTTTATATCAATCCACTTCGAGGTTGAAGTCGGCTTTTTAAACGAAGCTTATTACAAGCTTGCCAAGCTTATAGAAAATTATTTGACGCAATATACCTATTCGACTTTATTTGAACTAATAGAGAATCGTAAAATATTTAATTCTGCCATATATTTCAGGAGAAATCAAATCCTGTATGATTGAGGTGACGAGGGAGGCTAAATCGGCTAATTTGGACACTACAATGCATCACTGCAAGGACTGCCCAGAGAACACGGTGGATCATATAGTGGCGGTGTACCCTGCGTGACTGCGTGACTGCATGCCCGGGCTGAGCACCGCGTGTCTTCAGGAATGTGGTCGGCAACGGCGACCGAGTGGTCTAAGCCGCCTCTGGTTTAAGCGGATTATACGGCCTAGTAAGAAGTGAGGAGGACTGGGATGCCGTCTTCTTATTCTGTGAAGCAGTCATGCTAGCTAAGAGGAGGAGGCGGGGTGCGGGAACCCCGAATCCCCAACAATCCTTAAATTCTTAATCCCTAATAAAAAAATCATACAAAAGTAGTCTTTAAATATTGGAAATAAGGTCTATAACCAAGGTTTGTGATTGAGGACACCAGTATCCTCTTGGCTTAACTCCGGCCGAGCCGGCCCATTCGTGCCGAAGCATGACTCTCTCGCACTTACGTTTTGAAAAACTATCAAATAGTGTAAAATACAGTATCTTAGTCATGTGCTTGGACACGAAAGGTTCCAGCTTTTTTGACCTGCTGCTTCAGCTAATAGGTAATGGTCATAGGAAAGCGATGCGTTGAGTGAAGAAAAATCAGTACCAAATCTCGAGAGTGGACCGACTTCTCTGCAGGACAATGACGTTGCAGTAAATCTGATGTCCACCAGTAAGGTGACTGATGTTTTAGCCTTTGATAATGATGCTGAATCCCAGAAGTTCGATCGTCTTCCAATCCAACATAGCAGTGCTGCCATGTCGTCATGCTCAAATCTTGTCCATGTGAGAAGAAGCTTTCGCTCAGCAGTGAGCAGTGGGCGTATACATTTAGGCTGTAGATGCATGATAGTGAAAAAGTTTGAAAGGCAAGGGTCTCGGGTTCGATTCTGAATCGGACAAGGGTCTGAAATTGTGACCGGTATATGGCAATAGGCTTACCCGCTATTACATAGGAGTCATAAGACAAATAATGAAAAATGAGTGTTACTATGCAGTGGCATTAAGTGCCGTAATGTTCACCTCTGCCAACTCCTTCGGGGATAAAAAGCGAGATGTACATAACATCTCGCTTCTGTGCAAACACAAATAAATTGTACATGCAGATAAACGGAAACCTTTATTTTTAAATCGATCAAAAATGTACAGGCTTTTTTGTAAACTATGGTCACCTGTCTATGGTTTTCACAAATCGAATGATAGTCTGTGATCTTTGAGTCTTTGACTTTTGTATTGTTGAAATGTTGATGGATTTCAAAGAGTCATTAATATTTGTTTGGATGTCATTGTTGTCAGTTTATCTCAAAGGGAAGCTTTTCAACATTTTGTTATACCAAAAATACCACGAAGTAGTTCATTTCGGGTACCTCTAGTTAAATTTCTCGTCACTGTTGTGTAAAATGTTATAGTGCATCAAATTTGGTGTTAATACAATATCTATTGAAGGGTCACGTATGGTAAAATAATTAAAAATGGGTGACAACTTCCAAAATAAGACCATGGCACCGGTCATGATGGATTACGATTTTAAGGTGAAGACTCAGAACGAACGTTCTAAAGTGGAGATCTTTTTGACTTCGAAGGATGTAAAGTTGGCCGTGGAACGTATGGTCACGTGTATAAGGCTAGACGAAAAGATGGGTCAGATACAAAGGATTATGCTTTGAAGCAAATCGAAGGGACTGGGCTATCTATGTCAGCTTGCAGGGAAATTGCGGTGAGCATGAATGCTTGACATACTATTACAATTACGTAAAGAATTTAGAGGTTGTGATTGACGTGTGGTATTTTTTACAGTTACTCCGGGAACTGAAACATCCTAATGTGATAAACCTAATCGTGTTTTCCTTTCGCACACTGATCGAAAGGTGTGGCTGCTATTTGATTACGCCGAACATGATTTATGGCATATAATCAAGTTCCATAGAGCAGCAAAAGCTAACAAGAAGTCCGTAATGGTACCTAAAGGTATGGTGAAGAGTCTTCTTTATCAGATATTGGATGGCATACACTACTTGCATTCCAATTGGGTATTGCATAGAGATTTGGTAAGTACTTGTGTGTTTATCCATCTTAAAATGTTTTTAATATTTTGTTCAAAATTCTGCATATTCTCATGTGTTAAATTCATAGTTATTATACATAGAAACCTTCTTTTCGAATCACTCATATTTATTAAAAAACAACCCATCATAATCTGTTGCATAATTTTAAAGATTGAGGCATATAGACTGACAGACAGCGATTTGTTTTAACATAAGTATATGTATAATAATAATACATGTACAGTAGCATTCTTTCACTGATATTAATGGTTCTTTTCAGAAACCAGCCAACATTCTGGTAATGGGTGAAGGTCCGGAGAGAGGCCGGGTTAAAATTGCAGATATGGGTTTTGCTAGACTGTTTAATGCTCCATTGAAGCCTTTAGCTGACTTGGATCCTGTGGTGGTCACATTCTGGTACAGAGCTCCTGAATTATTGCTTGGAGCTAGACATTATACTAAGGCAATCGGTATGGACCATTGAGACTTTTTTAAAAATACTATACAGGCAGTAAATGGAACGCTCCCAATAAACACTGACAGGTGAAGATTAAAAACAAGTTTTATTTTCATGAAAGTAAGGAATCAAATGTTTCTTTCATGTAATAATAGTTGTAATCAACTCCTCAAGGCTGATGTTGTATGAATAACATGAAAACAAAAATAATTAAAATTTATTTTTGTCAGCGTTCCACAGTTTTCCATTTACACCCTGTATTATAGAAAATTCTTAGTAATGACATTGAGTTCAGTTTAGGTAGCCTCCACTCATGTAGTATGAGACTTTACTCATATCTGGATTTGATTCTCTATCTCGTAAACAACAAATAATGTTAATTGTAAAAAAACAAAAAAAAAATGTATGTAAATTGAATGATATTTGTTATTATTTTTTTGTTGTTGGTTTTAATAGTCATTATATTAGTAGCAAACCTACTACTTCCTTCTTCAATCTTGACCAGTAATTGATTAGCGTTTGAGTATTTCGACATTATGTAGTTAGTTATGTAGAAAAACAAATATTAGAATTTAACAAATATTTAAACTGTTAAAATTAAGTCTGGTGTAACATTTTACTCTCTTAAATTCCAGATATATGGGCGATTGGGTGTATATTTGCGGAGCTGCTTACATCCGAGCCTATATTCCATTGTCGACAAGAGGATATTAAAACCAGCAATCCATACCACCATGACCAACTGGACAGGATATTTAATGTAATGGGATTCCCACAGGAGAAAGATTGGGAAGATATTAGAAAAATGCCTGAACATGCTACATTAGTTAAAGATTTTAAAAGATCCAAGTAAGTTGTTGTGTTTTGTTGTATCATGTATGTATTTTAAAATATTGTTTTTCGATTTTTTCTATTGTGTCATGTATGGTAGCAGAGTATGTGGTAACATACTCTGCTATTTATCAAAAGGTATTTTGGTGGATTATTTAATTTGTCACATATTAGTCTGAGAATGTCTTTGTGGCCCGGAGGTTTAAGACGTTTCTGATGCATTAGGGTTCGCGTTCGAAACCAACGGCTAGTACTAATGTGACGTTTTCCGAGTTACATGTACTTTCTAAATATTTTGACACCACTGACAAACGGTGAAGGAAAGCATCGTGAGGAAACCTTAGCTTATAATCTCTAATTAAGTTTAAGTTTGAAATCGCCAACCCGCCTCGAGGAAGCGTGGTGATTAATTCTCTACCTTTCTCCGTGTGATAAGAGGCCTTTGGTCAGCAGTGGCTCTACTCTGAACTTTTTAGGAGCTATTATGTTGTAGTCTTGATTAACTTATAAAAGTTCTGTAGATTGTTGAAGTTTTTTCTTTACGGGATAAGCCGGTAAACGATCGAGCGGATCACCTGATGGTAAGCAATCGGCACCGCCCATGGACACCTGAAACACCAGAGGCGTTACAAGTGCGTTGCCGACCTTTTGGGAATTGGGAATTTGAGGATTGTGCGGGGATTGGGGAGACTGGAGAGGATTGAGGAGGGGGGAGGGAATTAGGCCTCCGGTAACCTAACTCACACGACGAAACACAACGCAAGCATTGTTTCACTTTGGTTATTTGCTCGGCCGTGATATTCACCCACACTTAAATGATGATGTAGATTCATCATAACTTTTTAAATACTGCCCCTTACTAGTTTATCTTGAAATAGATTCAGAATGATTAATACCTATAATGTTCATTATATTTATTACAGCTACCAAAATTGTTCACTAAGCAAATACATGGACAGGCATAAAATAAAACCGGATAGCAAGGCTTTTAGTTTACTGCAAAGACTTTTGCTGATGGATCCTAATAGGAGAATAACATCGGAACAGGCTATGCAAGACCCATACTTTGCCGAAGACCCCTTGCCCACACAGGTAAGAATGCTTTCATCCATATTTATATATAAACGTCGTGTTAGTTACACTATAAATCACGAATGATTAAATGAAAATGTGTGGGATGTAGCTTAGAGCCAGGAGATGATCATAGGATACGTTTTATCCAAGGATTTTTTTGAATCCTACGGGTACGGGAAAATACAAACCACCCCTAGATCATCACTTAACTAAAAGTTACTTAGCGCTACATAGCACCTAAACTAACCCATACTAGTACTGTTAAGTGACATTTATAGGTTGGTGAAAAACAAAGCGATGTTAAATGTCACCTATTTTACCTTAGGGGTTTCCTAAAATTTAGGAGAGGTTGGTGAAAAAACCCCCCTTCTTTCGCATTTTATGTCTGATTGTCTATATGATCACGAATATTTAAAAAGGATTAAATATATTATTGTTCGTGGTTTGTATCTGTAGTATCATGTATGTAAGACTAGCTACTTTCACGCGGTTTCACACGCTCTGCTCAGCTCCTATTGGTCGTAGCGTCATGTTTTATAGCCTATAGCCATCCTCGATAAATGCGCTATCCAACACAAAAATAATTATTCAAACCAGACTTGTAGTTACGGAGATTAGCGCGTTTAAACAAACAAATAAAAAAACCGCTTCCGCTTTATATAATAGTATAAGATAAGATTTGTGCAATTGTGTTTTTATATAGAATCATTAGCAAAGGTTGTGATTTGATAGTTTTGTTCTAACTTACAATCATTGTCGGAGATTGTGGTTTAGTTTTGTTAAAATATTTGCATGCCGAATTTATAGGCGGGATATGATGAACTATTTTTATGTTATAAAATCTGTAAACCGCCATATTTCAGGCTAATAAATGAATCTTATCTATATATTAAAAAAGTTTATTTTGAAATAACTTTATGGTTCATCTATTGCTAATAGATTTCAATCACCTAATGAAATTAACTCAACTCAAATTGAAATAATTAATTTATTACTTATTATTTTCTTATTTTAAGTCAATCAACTCTAGTTTATATTTAGTTACGAAATCCAGGTCATTATATCTCATTAGCATTAATCTTATTCACATGGGATTTTGTGACATAAAACAAGGTTAAATATGGTTTTTTAATGGCTGTTAATTTGACTAGTATATGATTAACTCGTCGAGTACCGTATTTATAGACACAATTAAAGAACAATAGGTAGCGGTCACCGGTGACCGCTTGGTGTTTGACAGTTTAAATAATGATTTAATCACGTATTTATTATCCAGTAATCGTATGGAAGTTTATCTTTACTTAGTTTGTAATAAAACTACTTTTTAACAAATTACTAATATGTAAATAGTTGTTGCGAAATTAAGTGTGATGTTTCAAGAGGCCCAGCGCAAACCGGCGGAGTTGCGGCGAAGATACTGAGAATAAATCAGTTTAAAATATACCTAAACTACTTGGGCATACGAAAACGGCATGTGAAAGATCGATTTTAGTGGGACATGTTTCGAGTTTCTTTGATATATTTTTAAGGGGGGAATATCATTGAATGACTTCTGCCGCGGGTGAATCGCTTCTGGGTGAGGCGGGAGGGAGTGTCAGACTCAAACTGACTAAAAACTACCCCATTCCTACTCCTGCACTTCGTGTCGGAGCCCCGGTAACCGTTTGTTATTTAGTTAACGTCGTGTTATTTAGTTATACCGGGCACAATTCCAGACTCCGTGCTGTTACTGAGCTTTTTTAAAAACATGACCACCTAATAGGAAACAACGCCTTACATAATTCAAACACTCATCTTGTACATCAACAGTTAGTTATAAATAAAATGTTTTCTCAAATTCTCAGGACGTATTCGCGGGATGTGCTATTCCTTATCCGAAGAGGGAATTTTTGACTGATGACGATCAAGAAGACAAGAGCGATTCAAAAGCTCGGCAGAATCAGCAGCAGCAACAACCAAATGTGAGTTCTATTAACCAACTTCAAAAAAAGGAGGTCCTTCTTCACCTTAAAATGGTAGAAGGACAAACCAGGGTGCTTACTCTTGACACCAACCTCAATGTCAATGCAATTTCAATCCAATAAAATCTCAATAATAATTCAGTGTCAAAACTATACAACCCCTATCGTAGCTGATAAAATAAAATTCAGAGTACGGAATATAAAGACAAGCTCAATACCTTTTAGTTCATTCAATATTCACGCAATACGGATGAAATGGGCGCTAGTGTTGCAACTTAAAAATCCGAAATTTCACAATACCAATGTCGATCGATCGGAATTGAATTCAAGAGTAAGCCTCCAGAAGCTGGACTTCTTTATAGTAAGCAATTAACGTCGTTTGTGCACGCCCAAAACACCAGAGGAGGTATAAGTGCGTGGCCGGTATTTGTGGCTGGGAAGGTTTGGGTCTTGGGTAATCTGTCTCTCACAGCGAAGATAGTTTTTTTTGAGATTATAGTACCTATATTACTCCGAATGAGCCGGTCTACTCGTGCCAAAGCGTGGCCATGCCTCGTGATAATTATTCTTCGGGGTTACCGTATGGTAATCGCCTAAGGATTCGTTTATTGCATCGACACAAAAATTGAGAGAAATCTTTCGAAATGGGATGTGCATAGTACAGGAAAATCTTGATGGTTTCAAACATTATTGATTGATAATTATTATGTTTAACTTTTAATATTACCAATTTTACAGACTCAGCAAAATCAAGTGCAAGCAAACAGTCACGACCACGGAGCCAATAACGCGAAGAGGATGAGAATGTCAGGTATATTATACCGTATGTTATTAGTTTTTATTTTATTTTTATTGTACACACACACATACACAGGTAGGCAGTCCATTTGTGTTTAACTTACACTTTCATTGTGTCGTACTAACTGGTATCGTTCATGGTAACATAGATTTTGTTTATCAATCAGTTTAACTCCTCTAGTCACATGATCACTCCATTATATGGGACTCATAACATTAAAATGGCGGTTACATTGATAATGTTCACCTCTGTCTACTTTGCGGGGATTAAAATGCGTTTTTATGTTTGTTTATTTATATGTTAGTCCCGAATTTCATAAGTTCTATATTATTAAAAATGTAATATCTGTTATTTAAAAAGTATATAATTATCTGTTATTTAAAAAGAAAGAAAGAAAGGAAGAAAAATGGTTTATTTGCACACCGTCACAAAGTACAATAACTTTAAAAAGAAAAAAAATTAAAACAGCGAAGACGGCGCAAAAAGGCCAGAGCTCAGCTTAAATGCCGTGATCTGAGTGCGCTCGAGTCGAAGCTAGCTAGACTATCTCGTTGTTGAAGTGATTGCTAAGTCTCGAATTCTCGGAGCCACGGAGGAGTGCAGGTGTAGGAACAGGGTGGTTTTTAGTCAGTAAGAGTCTGAGAGAAGTCATTGGATGATTTCCCACCCTCAAAAAAAGGGTCTCGAATTTTATCTCATTGGGCGAAGTATTTCTGGGATTTTCGGATTCGAAATGTATGAATAGAATCGAGGGGATATTATCAATAGACTTGCACTTATTAACTGAGGTTATACCAATTTAATGAAACATGGGCGGCCTGAAACACAGGAGTCATGATAACAACCATACATTGATCCATTAATGAAATAAAACCTCATCCTTTCACAGAATCATAGCCGTATTGTTGTGTTTACATATTGTTTTATTCATTTTCATACATTTCGACCCCTTATTTATTACTTTTTATGAAAATTAAATTTATCTATTTTATTTCCAGGGCCAAATCAAGGCAACAACGCAGGTGGGGGTGGTCAACAGGAGTTCCATCAACAACAACAGATGATGTTTGGCGGCCAACAACAGGGTGGAAGCTCGCAACAACAGGGCAACTTCCAACAAAGATTCTAATGTATATCATTGTAATTTATACCTTATAGTTTATGTAATATGTTTCAAAATATATTTGAGTAATTTATAATTGTATAGTAGGATTCGAAAATAATGTCGATATTAAAGACCTGTGTAGGTGAGTCTGGACATCATAACTCCGAAAAATATGAATGAATTTCGATACAAATGTTATTTAATTTTTAAGTAATTGCATAATATATGTGATAGATTCGTTTAATCGAAGTTGATTGTCCAATAAGTTAATAGTCTTGACATCATTTGTAATAATTGGTGGTCAAAAAGTGCCTTGTAAAGTAGTTATGTAATTTTAATATTTGTACTTTGTTTTTGTAATGTTTTTAACTCATAACAGCAGCACAAAAAGAAACTAGTATTGTACAACTCTGCCTATTCCTTTGGTGAGCAAGCGCGATGTTACTGTCTGACTTTTATTCTGTTTCTCGACATTTGAACTTACTATACACAGGTCTTTGATGACATTTTTAAGAAAGTTTATTTGAATGTAATAAGAATAAAGGTATTGTAATAATAATTGTCTTGACATGTAATGAATTATTGGTATTGTAAGACGGTGTCTTATAATTATAAGAAAAAGTGTTTATAAAAGACTGACATTAGTGTTTACATCGCCATCGTTTATGTTTCAAACTATGTCATCTTATTGTATGATCGAATCTATGACAAAAGGCAGACGCTAGTCTAATCGAGACCTTATATTTTTTTTTAATAATTTATGTTCATACGGTTTTAAACCAGTTACATTAACCCGTTACATATACGCGAGAAAGAATTTGTTTTTTTATTGTGCCTGCAGATAAGCGGTTCACATAGAAAATAAAAAAATTGTAGATTAAAAAACTGTAAAGAAAAATCTATTTATGGGATTGACGCTGACAAAATTGTGGTAATGTCGGTTCCCATAGCGACTATTGTGGTTTGCCGCGTGATCGGCCGCTAGTATGTACGGGGGCTTAAAACCGTGCATTGTCATTTCTATTAACTCGTGTTATGCCGGAACTCAGATCTAGCGAGATACAATGTTTTCTATTGTATTTCATATATTATCTCGTATAATAAATATATATTGTATTCAAGCGGTTAATTCGATTCGACTAGCGTTTGTGCCATTTGTCAAACGAGGCAGATATTATCAAAAAATAAAATGTGTATCGTTTCTGATTCCCATGACAGTCTCATTATCTTCATTGGCCGAGTGGTCGTTATATACGACTTCGGAACGTGAGTTCTCATTTCCGATTGACATCGATTTTCTCAATTCTCTGTTTTAATATAAATTTTAATGTGTTGTAATAGATTTATCAACTTTGACACTTTTTGTTATCTTGATTGTTCTTTAGAGTACAATTTCTTTAAGCAGTGCTTATTCTTATTAATTTTTTTCATACAAATGCAGAACATAATGTTATTTAATTAAATTGATGATCTGAACAGTTTCAGTAAAATTTACAAAATAAATAACGAATATAATGAACGAATCGAAGTTCTTTTAGGATTTGTTTGACCAAAACATTTCGAATAACTACTAATACTGTAAAATGTAAATATTATAATACAATAAGTTGTAATTTTTAATTGTAATAAAACATTTATGAAGTACAAGATAACGTGTTTAATTTAAACCACTAAAGTAATTGTAAAACGTGTTTATTTATTAAATAAGTAATATTTATGTACATTTTTATGGACGGAATTAAAAGAAAACATGTCTTACATAAGTAGAAAACGCACTTCTATAATCATTACCACTTTGAGTGCAGTAAAGGTTTCAATCAAATAACAATTTTATTGTATTGTCTATAAAGTTTCTTTTTCCTAACTCACATTATGAACAGTCATTTGGAAATCTCGATTAAACTATCAACTTAAATAAATCAGTCGAAATTGCAGTCATATAAGAGGTAAAATTAAGACAGAAATAGTCTTATGGCCAATTTGAAAAGGCACCTTATAAAAACTGATATAGATACATCTATATGTACCTATGTACCATCCATTTTAGCTATTAAAAATAAAAGTTCAATATCAATCTCAGTAAGTGCCTCCAGTAAATAAACATTACCTACTTATATTTTTTACCATTACTTTCCTACTACATGGAAGGCGACATACATAGTTTTAGCTCCAATAGTTTTCTAAGACGTTTGAGTTAAAACTCCCCCCATATAATAGTGGCAAGTTTAACCTTTAGTGTGTCTAAGACGTGGATCCAAGCAAGACACAATGTATTATCTATTCTGTCTCATATCGATGCATTCAAAAGGTTAAGGAATGTAATAATGGTAGTTAATAATGCATGCAATGGCCATTGGGCGTCTATAACTGCCACCAAAACTGCGAACTATGTTTGCAATGCAACATTTTTCACAACAGTTCGATCTCTGACTGGATTTTGGTGTTACATAGTTCTCACACAATTGGACCAACAAAAATTTGTAACTAAGAATTGTATTGTGAACCTGATTGAAAAAGAGTAACCTATGGAGTTTCTTGCTCGTTCCTCTCCATAGGAATCTACAACTTGGAATGATCAAATAGCTTCACTTTAAATTGTTTGTTGACGTTCTTGGTCTAATTCAAATAAATGATATTGACTTTGACTGTGACACATAATCTCTTGCATAATTTGATACACACCTAAACTATAACAATTTTTTTAACACTAAATTAATAACTTACACTATTCTCATTATATCGATGTTGAGTCGCTTCCATACTCGATTCTAAAATATTTGTTCGTTTACTTAAATGTAAGGGAAGCTCAATGAAAGTTAAATATCATAATCGAGTAAAGAACGTCATATTGCCTTGATTAGCATTCATAAAATTCAGTACTTTTAGAAGCAATGATTTTAAAGTAAGCACTAACAAATGACTTAATCTTTTATCTACATGTTCCCCCCATTCATATCTTCGACCAGGTGGGTAATATACTAAATGTTTGCATCATTTTTCTATAAGTATGTAGGTACTTCTAAATATTTTTCTTTTATTTTAAAGATGAGACTTCGACGATAGTTTTACCACCGCTGTTGTCGAGGAAATACTGTGCCTTGTTTAATTCTTCTCGCTTCAACTTTGTGTTAGAGTCGACTGTCTTGATTCGTGTGCGCAGCCTGCCACAACGACCGTCCAGGACCTTTTCAAAAGCTGGAAAAGGTAAGAACAAGAAAATTATTATAATGTCTTTAAATAGATTTTGCTATTATGCCTTCCTATAATGTAACCGAGTAAGTATCTTATATTGGGTTTACTAATATAATGATTATGTTTTAAATATTTTATATATTTATTTAAGATGTTACAAAAAATTGTGTGGCTCTGAATTATAATAGAATGCAGTTCTTAATCACCTGTGTGTGTAACACTTTATAGCTATTTAGATACTTGTTAATTAGTACCTACCTACTCAATTTGATATAATACCGCTATACTAGGCACGTAGTGGTCAAAGGAAAATCGTGAACATCATAGGTTTAATAAAGAAATGAATTGTAACACTGATCTAAATACAAAAACCTGTTTCAAACTGTTACGGTTTACTCATACCTGCCTATTACTAATAATAATAATTTACTTAGTTTGCTAAGCGGGCATAAAGTATCCGCCTAATAAGTATGTGGAATTCGATATAATTTTAATGTAGAATAGGTACTTTTTTATACGTAGGTACGCCAGTTTATATGCACTGTTTGCTTTGAAAGATTAGGTATTCATTCATTCATCGATTGAGGAAATCGTATTTTTAACACGAAGCGATAACGCCACTCTGACGTGCAATTTCAGCATCAACCCGGTTGGATTAGTTTCAGTGCAGTTTTTGTACGTTAATTGTGTTAGTCGTTGAAAAAAACTGCTTTGATGTGTAACTGACATGTTGAATGAAATATTTTGCGCATTTGTAGCGGTACCCATCCTCCCCAACCTCGGGGGGCCAAACGCCTCCTGCCGGAGGTTATACGCCGGGGTCGTGCGGTCAATGGCTCTCTACGGCGCCCCTGTGTGGGCGCCGAACCTGCTGCAGCGGCCCGCTCGGGCGCTGCTTATGGCACAGAGGGTCATGGCGATCCGAATGATCCGCGGATACCGCACGATCTCTGGGGAGTCGGCGAACCTCCTTGCCGGATTACCGCCGTGGGATCTGGAGGCGAAGGTGCTCGCGCGCGTGTATCGCATGCGCGCGGATGCACGTCGCCGGGGTGAAACTCCGCTGCCGCGCCAGATAAGTGCGTGGCGGGATGAGCTCCGGCGCGATCTCATGGCGGAATGGCAGCAACGACTGTCGCAACCGAGGGCTGGGCTCGCTGCCATTGCAGCGGTAAGTCCCCTCTTTGAGGAGTGGCTTGAGAGACGCTACGGCGTCCTCACCTACCGCCTGACGCAGGTCCTCACCGGACATGGAAGTTTCGGGAGGTACCTGTGTCTGATGGGGCGGGAGGAAACGCCCGGGTGTCATCACTGCGAGGACCACCCTGAGGACACGGTGGAACACACTGTTGCGGAATGCCCTGCGTGGGCTGAGCACCGCCGTGCCCTCAGGGAAGTGATCGGCGATGGAGACCTCTCGCGTCCGGGCCTAGTTCAGGCCATGATGCGGAGCGAGGGGGACTGGAATGCCGTCTCCTCCTTTTGCGAAGCAGTCATGCTGGCTAAGGAGGAGGCGGGACGCGCGAGGCAGCGAAGCGCTGCCTCCTCGCAACCCAGCCATCGCGAAGGACACACCGGGCGTCGGGGATCGCGGGACGATCTCCGGCCACCGTAAGCGCGGGCCTGCGGACGGCGAGCATGGGTGGCTCCCCGTCCGACCAGAAACAGACCCGAGCGTACGGCGCGTCGCGTTCCGCGCGCGCCTCAAAGAGCCATCAGACCACCACAGATGGGGCCCAATAGGGCCGATGCCGATTCGGAGTCGCGGAGAACCTAACGGGTAACCGGGGCTCCGGATCGACGTGCAGGAGAAGGAACGGGGTGGTTTTTAGTCAGTAAGAGTCTGACACTCCCTTCCGCCTCACCCAGGCGGGAGCAGTCATTCGATGATTTTCCCCCCTTAAAAAAAAAAAAAAAACCCATACCTATCAAATTGTTCAACGTGTTACAATCA